TTTTGAGGCTTTCCCTCCTTATGGAGGGTGTCAATGATGGTTTTCTGCACAACTGTCAGGTCAGCAGTCTTTCCCATGATTGTGATTCCTACTGAACCAGACTGAGAGACAATTTAAAGACTCGGGAACCCTTTGCAGGTGTTATGGCTTAATGAGCTGATTAGAGTGTGACACTTTGAGCCTAGAATATTGCACCTTTTCACAATATTCTCATTTACTGAGATTGTGGATTTGGGGTTTTCATGAGCTGTAAGCCATAATCATCACAATTATGACAAATCACGGCTTGAACTCTCTTGCTTTGCATGTAATGAGTCTATCTCCTATATTAGTTTCACCTTTTAAGCTGCATTAGTGAAATAAATGAACTTTTGCACGACATTCTAATTATTAGAGTTTCACCTGTATGTATAAATGTGGAGTTCAGCTTTAATGTTTCGGTTTTTTTTTTTTTGCCTGAACAAGGAATCTTTGTATATTCTTTATGAGAACTGACCAACTTATTTTTCTATGCTTTGATTTATCACAGTTATTAATGTACTGCCAAAATGTTTTGCTGTAGGACTATGCAATAAAACTGGGTTGAGAGAGGTAACTTTTTATATTGAACATTTACAAATCTCCGTGACCCCGCACCTCTGACAAGGCCATTGCTGATGTGGAGGTTTAGCCAACAGATTAGCGGCTTATGTACACTACTAAAATGGAACATGCTTCTATTTCCATTCTGTATCCACTAAAGCAAGGCTTAAAACTTCAAGTCTAGACCTACTAGCCAGGCAAAAACCTTATTCTCCACCAGTTGTCCCACCATACCTTGCCCAGGCCCGCCTCCAACCCCACCCCAGGCCTGTCCCCCAACCACGCCCCCTTAAAGCTTATGAAATTAAATTTTTCTTTAGAATAAAGAGTCCAAAATATAAAAAACAGCAATTATAACATAGCTTTAGCTTTATATTATGTTAACAGGGTGCAGATAAGATACCACAGTCAAAACTGGGAGGGCACTGATAATTTTCACAACTACCGTATGAGGATGTGTGTATGGGCAGCGTGCGACCGCTTCTACTGTAAGGTCGTACGACTTTTGTCTTCCAAGCACGCTGGAAAACCTGCCGAAAATCGTATGATTTTTGGCGGGTTGGTGGCGTGGTTGGAAAACGAATGCTGCACGGGCCGGTGTGCCCACTCAGCACTGCAATCATCGGAAGCCCTCCCCTCAGCGGGTAGGGCTTGCGATTATCGCAAGTACGATATGCCCGTCCAAGATAGGCAGATCGTACGAGATTTTAATGACCTTACAACCATCGCACAACGAAAGTCGTGCAATGGTTGTAAGGTGTATGGCCAGCTTAAAGCACAATAATACACTGCTCAACAACGTTACACTAATACACTCCCCCCTTATTAACCCCACACACACAACAAATAATATCCCCCCCACCCTTATTAACCCCCAACACAAAATTATAAAACACTCAACCCCTTCCCCGAGCACCCTCACCTGTTCACGTCTTTGCAGGGAGGAGGCTGTGAGCAGGATCGATCCCTGGTTTATCTGTGAGTGATTAGTGAGGTCTGCAGCAGCCCTCACTATCACACCCAGATAGCCAGGCATCGATGCTGCTCACAGACATTCTTTCCTTCGCAGGAGCTCAGAACTGTCAGAGCTCCAGCCGAAGGAAGCCGGAACTGACAGGAGCTATTCTGCAGTCTGCATCTGACACAGATGCAGACCGTGGAGCTTCTCCCGCAAGTCAGGTTCGCGGTCTGCGACCGTGTGCCTGACATGTCAGCTGGCTGTGGGCCCGAATTTCCACTCGCCCTCACCTTATTTTTACTCGCAAAATGCTAGCAGGCGAGTGGAAATTTTAAGCCCTGCACTAAAGGTTTACAATGGAAATGTTAATACACGCCTGTAGTTTTTGTATCACCTGCTCTTTAGTGGAACCTCCATATTCCTTACCCAGAAATGGGGGAAAAAACAAAATATGGACACGAGTGTTAGGATTTTTTTCTTTACTAATGTATTGAACCCACTGAACTGCCGTTTTTTGTTTGAGGTCCCCTACTTGTTTGACGTGTACTGTAGTATAATCAATCTCTGTGTTTGTGTGGATAGATGGATAGATATTCCTCCTGAATAGCTTGACTACACAATCAAAATGTGGTCTTGTCAATTTGGATTCTTGCTCATTTCTAGGGCTGCAGCTAATGATTATTTTCAAAATCAATTAGTTAGCCGATTATTAAGTTAGATAAATCGGATTTTAAAAAAAAAAGGCTCCTGTGTGATGTGCAATATAGTACATTATACAGCGTCGCAATGCAGAATACCAGCAGCTATAGAGGAATACAACAATGCCAGCAATAGTACATTATGCTATAATAAAGAGGTGCACCGAAATGGAAATTTTAAAAACGAAACCGAAATTTAAAAAAATTAGGCCGATACCGAAAATGTTTTTTATTTTTTTTTCAATGTTTTATTTTTTATAAACTTAATTTTTAGAATTCTGCTGTTTTGCTGATACTCGCTCCATGGCTCCGAGCGCCAACAATCATCCCACGTTCAAAGACTGTTAAATCGCGTTGTTTACCCATATCTTCAGGAAAAAATCACTTCTACTGTCATGGTAAACAACCGGCTTCCCTATTTATAATGGTCTGGCCCTCTAGCAACTTCAGCGTGAAATTATAGCTAATTGTGCCTACAAACGTCAGGTGGTCATAATAAACTGGCCACTCAGTGTGTATCTGGTATGCTGCATTGTGCCGCTGTATTATACAATACAAAATACCATACCACTTTGACAATGTTTTCCATCGTCGATTTCAATCGACTTAATCGAATAATTGTTGCAGCTCTACTTATTTCCCCTACTTGCACCTGCAGATGCAAAATATGCTATATAGGATATATTGTGTAGAGTTTTTTAATGCCATTTGCCCAACTATAATTTAATTTGTTTAATTTTTAGAGAAAGAGAGGAACCCCCAAGGTTTGCTCAGCCTGGAACATTTGAATTTGAATATGCATCCAGATGGAAAGCTTTGTATGAAATGGAAAAGCAGCAAAGAGAGCAGGTGGACAGAAATATCAGGGAAGCTAAAGAAAAACTAGAGGCTGAGATGGAAGCTGCTCGTCATGAACATCAACTTATGCTCATGAGGCAAGGTGAGAACAACATCCTTGCTGATATAGATGTGATTACTGTGTGGCAGCTGCATAATTTATGTATAAAGAGTCGCAAAATGCTTTTTTTCTTTTCTTTTAATAGCAAAAACTTTTTTTTTGCCCTCCTCTTAGATCTTATGCGGCGCCAAGAAGAGCTTAGGCGGCTAGAGGACCTGAGAAATCAGGAGCTTCAAAAGCGGAAGCAGTTTCATATGAGGTAATCTATTTAGCATATATAAACGAACAGGGGAGAAGGAGTTTCGCAATAAGTAACAAGTATATAAACTATATGAATTCAGCTCCTGGGTTTCAAAACATATAATCAAAACAACACTATCCCCTTAGCAAAAGAATCCCACATTAGGAGCTGTCAGCTGAACAAGTAACTCAATGAGTATATAATGTATCAAAAATAGTATTTTTAATTAACATAGAAGTAGTACAAATCATAAATCACCTAATACACAACATTTAAAATCTTTAAAAGGCTTCCCTTGAATAGCCCAAGTATTGGACAGGACAGTCGGGGTTAATTAACCACCAAACTAACAGGCAGTCACTAAAGTAGATGTGCTATATGGAAATGGCAGATACAATTGTATCAAAACACAGCAGGGTTACTCACTTCATATGTGGCCACAGAGTGAGAGTCCATCTGAGATTCCGTGTTGGATGTAAATAGGATGTTTTAATGGAGCATGTCCATATAATGATTTGCAATCCCAGAAGTTGTTTTCATTGTGCATTTAAAGATCGCATGGTTTCTTTTATTTCTCGTCCGGATTAACGTCAACCGACCGGGGTGGGAATATTTCTCCACATTTGGAATGACCCGAGGGTTTCCCTTGGGATTGCGGCCACACGGTAAGGCAGGGATAGATGAAGTTCCAGAGGCAGTGTGCTGGATCTGAAGTCCGGCTGCTAACTGATGGTCAAAGTAAATAAGCTGCACTCTATCCAGGTTCAGAATCAGTGGACTGTGCTGCTGCTGCTACGGTATGTAGATCAGCTCCGCTCACTTTAGTCGGTGTACTGAAAGTTCGCCACCCGACCAAACACAGGCAGTGAGTCCAAGGTATCCAGGGAAGTCAGCAACACGCTGTCCCTAACGCGGCTTTTCCCCCCAGCAAGTGGGGCTTCCTCAGAGGGGCGTGTAGCAATCATCCTGTATAGGTGATTTATATAGCTCCTTGATGAGAGCTTGATAACGTTCAGTTTTCTCTTTAACAAGATGACTGAGCCGCTGTTCAATGCTGGCTCTTCAAACGATAAAGGTACAGGAAAAAACCTGTACCTATTTCCCAGGTCTTTCTTCAATAGTTACATTTGTCAAATATCGAGGGGTTTTACCCCAACCAATATATAAGTAATGATAAATTTGTATTAGTTCTCACAGAATTCACTGATGCACTGTTCTGAGAGCTAAATGTAATTACAAACATGCGGAAAACTACATTTGTAAAGGGGCACTCCAGCTAAAAGACATCCCAATGACGGTACAAACATTATACTCAATACTGTTCTAACTGAGTTTGTTGGTGCATTGCTCAAAGAACAGAATGCAATAACGAACATGCAAAAAACGCATTTGTGAGTGTGCGTTTTGGCTGGAAAAAATCGGTACAAATCGGCACAAATAATAATCAACATAACGAACATGCAAAAAACGCATTTATAAAGGTGCGTTTTAGCTAGAAAAAGTTGGTACAAAATCGACACAAATAATAATCAACATAATTACATAATCTGAAACAATGTAGGAACCCCTGATATCCTCTACATAATTTAAGATGGGTGTTTAAACCATTATCAAGTTAATCAAGTTATGACTGTAACTAAAGTTCAGATCCTGGCATTCATAGATCCATAATTTTAAGAAGAAGCATCATGTTTGACGAGTGGTCAGGTCAAAGGTAGCAGCTAAAATTAATCATGTCATTTAAACCAGGTGCTTCATGGGATTCTGTCTGGTGAATCCACCTACATTCTTTTTGTAAGAGGTGTTTATCCCAGTCTCCCCCCCGCCTGTGTTTATGGACTGTCCAGTACAAAGAAGCAGAGTTTGTCAGTTTGTCCTTTATGTGTGTTAACAAAATGTCTTACAATGGGTGATCTCGAATACAGGATCGCAAATTGCGGTCCTGTATTTGCATGTAACAGCTTCATTCTTTCATTACTGAAAGGAAGAAGCTTTTACAAAAAGCTTAATTATTTCATTAATGAATGCCTCAATACTGAGGCATTCATTAATGCCTGGTAACTGCTGAGAATCAGCTGTTACCAGCATTACAATGCCGGATATAACTCGTCACGTACAGTGTACGTGGCCAGTCATATAGGCACAAAGTGCCGGGACGTACACTGTACGTCTCCCGTCACGAAGGGGTTAAAGAGGGACAACAACGGTAGGTGATGGTGGGTTTTTTACAAAGGAACTTTAAAATTCTAGAGTCTTTAGAGTCAGACAATGCCAGTGTTTGCCCAGTATTTTAGATATTTCACTATGTTGGTCTTACTAGAGGATCTTCTTTTTTATTATGTTTAGTTCATTCTTATTATGTTTGGGTCCATTTTTAGCCCTCTGATACGATTTTTGTAAGAATTTTATTGGAGTAACCCCCTCGCCCGTAACCTCATTCTCAAGTTCTGAGCCTCCCTTTCAAAATCACTATCAGAAGTACAGTTTCTCCTGACCCTCAGGTACTGGCCATACGGGATGCTATTTTTCAAACAATGGGGGTGGGCACTGGTAGCCTCAAGAATGGCATTGCCAGCTGTGTCCTTTCTGTACAGGCTAGTGTACAGGACCCCTCCATTGTCCTTACACACCAGAATGTCCAGAAAGGGCAATTTGTTCTGATCTGCCGTCATGGTAAATTTCGAATTGCAAATATTAAAATTTAGAACATCTACAAAGTCCCTCAATAGATCATCTCCCCCAGTCCACAACATCAGGATGTCATCTATGTACCTGTGCCATGATAAGACATGGCACAGGTACATAGATAAGTCCTCCCTGGCCCATAGTTCTTGCTCCCATCCACCCAAATATAAGTTGGCATAAGAGGGTGCACAGTTGGTTCCCATAGCAGTACCTTGTTTCTGCAAATAATAATGGTTGTTAAAAAGAAAAGCGTTGTGGGTTAGAACAAATTCCAATAGTTGCAACAAAAAAGCGTTATGTGCATTTTCTGTAATCCCCAAAGTGGCGAGAAATGTTTTCAGTCATTTTCAATCCCTTGGAATGTGGGATCGACGAGTACAAGGCCTCGACATCTAGGCCCACCAAAAGGGTCCCCGGAGGTGCTTCTAAATCGTGGATAAGAGAGATTAGATGCAGGGTATCTCTAACATATGAGGCCAGGGACTGGACGTGTAGTTTTAGGAAATGATCTATATAAGAGCTTACATTTTCTGTTAGTGACCCGCAGCCGGAGGCAATAGGTCTCCCTGGGGGCTTTAATAACGACTTATGGATTTTTGGCAGGGCGTATAGAACTTGAGTTCTAGGGAAGGGGACTCTGAGGAAATCCAAAGTGCCCTTATCAATGAGATTTGAGTCAAAGGCCTCTTCCAGTATCCTCTCAAGGTCTGTTTGAAAAGATTCTATTAATGTAGCTTGTATAGGTTGATACCAAGCTGTATTATCTAAAATCTTCATAACCATCTCCATATAGTATTCGTTGGTCATGATGACCACATTTCCGCCCTTGTCTGCTGACTTGATCACTATATTTTTATTATTTTTCAGAGCTGTTCTGTCTGAGGGAGTGAGTTTATCCTCCTTAATCTTGGTGGGCAGAGCCACCATAATTTCATCACTCACTCTTTTCACAAAATTCCAGATGTTGAAGTTCTGAGACAGGGGCGGAAAGGTTTTAGATTTACGTTTAAAGGACCGTTTGACAGAAGTGACCTCTTCCTCAAACTCCTCCTCTGAAACATGTCCCTCCTCCCAAAGTTCCTGTAGATCCCTGAGTGCTCTGTAGTCCCTTCTGGAGAAATCTTTCCAATCTTTGAGCATGCCTCCCAGTGGTAGGTTTTCTTTATCATGTGTCTGCTTTAATAAAAGTCTACGTGCAAAGAGATTAACATCCTTAATAATTTCAAACCTATCCGGTGGTGCTTCCGGACAAAAGGTTCATCCTTTTGGAAATCAAATTCAATTGTGCTTCAGTGAACGTATATGGGCTCAGATTGATGACCTGCAGGTTATTTGTTAAGGACTTTTGAGAAGATATTGGTCTAGGATAGTCCTTTTTGTATTTGCTATATTTGGTGGGGTTCCCTGTCGTGGTTTTTCTTTTCTTTCTCCTAAACGGGACATCCCCTCCTTTTGGAATTGGCGGGGGTCCCATCTCTCCTAAAAAAAGGTTCTTCCTGTCTGGCTTTATGTTGTTGCATCCCTTTGTTCCTGGTGTCTGCATCAGGGTTATCACAATTCTGTATATGTCTCCCCTGCCGAGCTTTTGGATCTCTCCAAACTGCTCCACCTCTATATGTCCTTTTCTGCGAGCATGTGTTATATTTCCACTGGCGGGGTAGTGTGGTCTCATCAGAGGAAGACGGACATGATTCCGTTCCCTCTGATTGAGTGTTCCCACCATCCCCCCTGCGGTTTTTATAAGGGTCCTCTTTGTTTGGGGTTTTATTTCTATTCCAGTTTTTGTTTGGGGTTTTATTTCTATTCCATTTTTTATTTTGTCCCTATCTATAGGCCAGACCTAATGCATAGGCATTCCTATCCCTTTCAAATTTAGAATCCTTAACATTGACCAAGTCCCTGTTATAGGATTCCACCTGTGTGTTTAATTCGGTAACAACACTCTCAAAATCCACATTGTGTCTGAAAGCTTCAAAATCAGTGCCCACAACCTTCAGATGTTTATCAGCCATTTTTAATTCCCCAGTATAATACTCAATTAGCATTGTTAACATGTTGCGGCTACAAATATTGAAGTTGTATTCCCACTGTTTCTTGAAGTCTATTTAGCAATTGGCAAATATAAACTAACTTCTGTGTATAGACAAAAAAAAAATCCAGTAACTGAACTTATAATTTTAGGCATGAAGAGGAGCAGAGACGGCGTGAAGAAGAGATGATTCGTCAGCGGGAGCAGGAGGATCTTAGACGACAGGAAGGTTTTAAGGCAGCTTACATGGACACTGTAAGTAACAGGATTTTGTCCATCAGTTATTAAGAAATGTTTTAGGTCTAGTTTTGGCCACCTCTAAAATGGTGGTCAAATGTTTTGCAACGTATTTTGCTATTTTTTTGTTGTTGTCACTGTGATAGTATTTTAAAGCCAAGTGTGCACTCTTTTATAGAAAAAAATTGTTCTTCTGGTTTAGGATTACAGACAGCAGATTAGAGCATTTAAAACCGTCTAATAATACAACAACCAAGAATATTACATTAGAACACTGCAGTATAAACACTTCACCTTTGCAGATCAGGGGTCAGAATTTGTAATACGTGTCAGGCCAGTGTATTCATGTTCTTAGCTACAGTAATATGAAAACAGTCCCCTTATAAACTGCCAAGAACTGACTCCCAAGACAGTTTAAAGCCAAAATGAAGAAAATATTATGACAATACCAGCTGCTTGTGGATGCAAGGAAGGTGGGGGCAGAGAAAGACGTCAGAGACAGAGCAGAAATTGATAAAATGCGAGGCAAGTGTGGTACTGGCCCAAGCCACAAAAGAACAGAATTTTATGGAGCGAAGAGTGTCCAGTCTAATTTTCCTTGATGTATGTATCTTATGCTCATGAATTTCTTATAAAAATTATTGTAGATATATTTTGCATTGGTATTATTAATACTTTTACAACTTTGAGTGGAAAAATTAGATTTTTAAAGGAGATCTACCTATGGTCAGTTTGGTTGCCTTCTTTACCTTTAGTGAAGATGTCCTTGAAATCCCACTCGGCCTGAGCACACAAAAAGCCCCAGTCACAGCAAGGTCCTACTGCCGATGCCCCCCATTGCTCACCATCTTCATTCCTGTGGCTGGGCCAAACTGCTTTTCATAACTGCAGTTGCATTGACTATGATTAGATGTGACCGGGACATCTTTAAAAAATAGTCTGTGCTTGTTACTGGAAAAAATGGACCTTATATTAAATTGAATCTTGAAGGTCCTTTGGTTGGGATATGTTTTAAATATGGTAGTAATCTCTGCCCAAAAAGTGTTTCTTTTTTAGCGATTTAAGGATATATTTAGCTATGTTGGCTGCGATTGTGAAGTGGTCTGCTCAGCAAAAAATCTTTTTATTTTTCAGTGTTATTTAACTGGTGTTTTGTATCTTATTGTGTTATATGTCCATTTTAATATGATAAGGGATGCAATCAAATGTTATCTAATTTTAATTTCTAAGTTTGCACTCTTATGTAGTACAGGTGGACTTTTACCCCTCCCTTTGACTAAAAATTAGGGATGCACAGATACTTTTCGAGTACCAGTGCAGATACTTGGCATTTTCATGAGAACTACAAGGGTTGCAGCTGAGACCTGGCTCTGGTGCTCCACCACTGTCCTGAAATCATTAGTCTGTATTGGTTTAGAAAAACTGTCACATGACAATAAACAAAAATGTTTCAGTACTTGTAAGTACTCGGCAAGTACCAGTACTCGTACTCGCAAAACTGGTATCTGTGCATCCCTTTATATTTATAAAAACAAAATCGTACATTAAAACAGAGATGTACAAATCTCAGGAGCTCCGTGTGCTCCTTACAAATGACAGCTGCCTCCTAATTTTTGAATTTGTCTCTAGTCTAGTCTTGGAGCTCAAAAGTATCGGTACATGTACTTGTACCGAGTACTGTACTTGGTATCTGTGCAACCCTACTAAAAATCACATCAGTATGCAGCTCTGCTTGCTGATATGAAATAACATTAATTAGCTAAACAAACATATTTTTATTTTACTTAAAATTTCTTTTTATTGCACTTCCTGGTCCACTTTGGCACAAATTATGTAATCTTGCCAAGCATTCCATTCTGGGAAGGTTACATCAGCAGAGCATTGCTGGGGAATCTCATCTCATGGCATTTTCCTCCCCTGAGATGTGCATGGTCACACGTCCTAGTCACATGTGCTAGAGTTCCAGGAAGTAAAGGCATATTTAGCATCCTGCCCTTAGTTAAAATGACCACTAAGAAAAGACTGGGGAAAAGAAGAAAAAGGTATGCAAAAAATCTAATTATCTAGAAGTATATGTTTGTAGATTGTCATTACTAAACATTTCTAAAGGTGTCTTTGTTGTTATTTTGAAGATATGGGTAAAGTTCCTCTTTAGGGAAAATTGCCAAGATAAGAATATATCTTCAAGATATGAACCCTGTGACTAAAACATGAGAAATTCTGTTCTTTGCATCACTGGTGTTTGATCACGGTTACCTTGGAGGAGGATATATCCTGGGTCAGTTTGTGTTAAGGTCCAACTCCAGCTAAAATGTGTTTTTGTTTTTTTTACAAACTTGTATAGGGAAATGGTCTGCCTGCTTTTTACTGTGGTCTGTTATTCCATCACAGATATTTTCCCTTTTTTCTTGGACAGGAAGTGATGGGAGATCACACTAGTTGGGGACAAAAGGGTCAATTCACAAAGCTTTTTTTTTTTGCTAGTATATTGTTGCTGTGTAAAGGTAGACGATTAACAAAACTCCAGGATGCTTGTTATGCTTGAAATGCAATTCACAAAAAGAAAAGGTCCTTTAACTGCTCGTTATTGAGGTGTACATTTTTCACCTCGGGTGTGGTGACAAATTTTTGCCTTATCTAATGCTTGTTGCACTGTAATAAAGTGAGATAAATAGAAGTGTAATTTTCTTTTTTTTTTTCATTTTGTAATTTCTACACTTTTTTGTTTTTGTTCTACAAATTGGGATGATTTTTACAGTTAAAGGTTGTCAATTTTCACCTGACATATTAAATCTAATGTCTACAGAAACCCATCAATGGAGTTTTAGTGCAGGTGGATTTTTCCATGCTGCAAATTTAATATCAAAACAGATTTTTGATGGTCGGGGAGAATCGCTTGTCCTGCCTACACTGTCTACTTAATGACTAATATAGATTTAAATCGAACTATTATGTCATATATTCATTCCATTCTAAAAAAATATTGCTATTTCATTAACTATCACTTTTCTCCTAAATTTAGGAGTAAGCAGGTGGCAAAGATATTCCTGATATGTGGAATCCTTGTGTGGTGTAAAAAAGTAATCTAAAAACATGCACTCCACCCCTTCTACTACCAAAATGTACTGCAAAAGTGTTCAAATAAAATCCCAAACATTATTTTATCACAATAATAGAGGAAAAAAGGCTTATGTAAAAATACCAGCCTAACCTACGTCACACGTTAAACTGAGTATGCAATCATTTTAGCTTTTGTGAATTGCATGTTTTATCAAGCAAGTGTTAAATCCAAGTGGTAAAATATCAGATAACATAACTTTAACTCTCATAATACTGAGCTTTTGTGAATCGCTCCTAATGACTGTAGTCAGGTTATTATCTGGCTTTCTCTTCTGTTAAGCTGGCCATACACTGTTTTTATTTCATTTTTTTCATTCAACCCGTGGGCTGAACAAAAAAAAATTAGACAGATTCCCCCATCAAAGCTTATGAGCGTTGATTGGGGAATTCTCTGCTGTTGCTTTTGCATTCCGACAGCGGCACCCACTGCAAATTTCAGCTGGTTCCTGAAGAGCTGACTGTATGGCCAGCTTTAACTGCGCCCTCTTATTTCTTATCCTGCTGTCACAGGGCGGCAATGAACACTTAACATAAATATTTAGTCTCTCCATGTCTAAAACACCCAAATTGTCGGGAGTTTGGCCTTAAGCTTCATTTCAGGGTTGTACTTGTTTATAGTTTTATCATATAGGAAGCCCCCACCTTTCCCCAGGGTGCTGGCCACTAGGTGAAATACTTGCCTTACACCCCGATACAGCAGTCTTCACAGTGTGGACCCGCATTTAGCTGCAAAACCTTTCCCCTGACCATGGCTTGTGAGAGCCATACTCTTGGGTGACCACTTGAGGATGCCATAATTGCAGCTTTCTCATATGGATGAGTAATGATGCAATGTGCACGTGCAGTGTGAACTGGGTTTGAGTGATTGCTGCATTAGGACGGAAAAGTATTTTCCCCTGGTGTGCAGCACATGGGGAAGGGAAGTTTGTTGTTGGGAGCTTATAAGAAAATTGTACAAGGTTACAGTTTTACTTTGATTGCTATTGTCATTTTTATTTTATACATTGTGTGATAATTTCAGTGATTATGTAACTGAAATGGTTTGCAAAATGGCAACCATACAGAAGGCTTTGATGAGAAGATTCGGCTACCGTTTTGGTGATAATAATTGTGTGGTTTAATAAACTGAAATAGTTTTTTGTTGGAATAATTCTTATGTATGTATATTGACTTTGCAATTTCCTGTGTATGTTGAATGAAATTCAGGACTAATGCGGTATATTCCTTTTAAGAGGTATCTTGGTGTTTCATGTATCTTCATTTATGAACAATATTTAAAAAGTAGGCTCTATCATCCGCCAGCACCATGGAAGTGAATGACACTAATCCAGGCAGGTTGAGATCCATTCAGAAAAGGACAGACGTTTGCCATGGTCCAAGCCTTTCCACCTCCTGCCTTGCTGCCACAATGGCAGCTCCTAATGTGATTGTGGAACTCTGATGTGACAGTTAGGGGTTCTAAAATCCACTTCATAGACTGGAGTGCCTTAAGATTTTGCATACTTTTAAAGGGATTCCATTCCTGAAAAGGAACACTGTTCTGTAATATCAAAACTTCCATCACAAGCTCTAGAAGGATTCCTTAACTATGTGTATTGTATGCTCTTACTAGACATTGTAATGTAAATTTTACAAAACAAAATACTTTTTGGCAGGTTGTGTTTAAAGGGCAACTCCAGCCAAAACTTGAACCTCTGTCAGGTTCATTGTTTTGTGTTTTATTGGGGCCCTCAGTATTAGTCCTGGTGATCTGTCTCTGGGACAGACAGTGAGTTAAAAAATGTCCCTATTTTGGACACTGCAACATAGGCTCTATCCATTCCTTCTTATTAATGCAGTAAAAAATACAGTTCTTGCCATCGGTGTTGCCAATGGAGAAAAGTCTTTGTCTTTCTGTT